TTGTATTTTAACACCTTCATCCAATTTCATTTTTGTTGCCCCTATTGTTGTTGTTGTTGTTGTTGTTGCTGTGCCACATATTCGACGCTGATCCTTGGCTTCGCCTGCTGTCAGTTTCGCCCTGGCTTAATTTATGGACTTTGGGCCATTTGCTCTTGCGCATCATTTTTTGAAAAAAGTGACGACAAAACATTCCACAATATGACAAAAACAACAAAAACTAAAAAAAAACTTAGAAGAATGCAAAATCCCTTTTAGCAAAATCAAAAAAAAAAAAAAACTTTATATGAAGTAAAAAAAAAAAAAACGCCATCAACAATTTAGATAAATTTTCCCACCAGCCATGGGCACATAAAAACAAAGAATCACCACCACCCCATACCCATACGAGGGGTGCTCCGGCTTTGGTCAGGGCTCTGCTGTGCAAGCTGGTGCCGAGGGCTGCTCTCTGGGTGCTGGGCCACATCCGCTATGCCAGTTACCTCGGCACAATAATCACACTCTATGCACGATATCAAATGATAAACTCCAAGAAGCGCACAGATTCCCGAGTCCAGTATGACTGCAGCTTGCCTGAAGTTGATCCCTGGCCCTGACCATGCCGCCGCTGCCGCCGCCTCGTTCGCCTTGCAACAGCCTCCTTTTCATGGATGTGTGTGCACAACGGCTCAGTGACGGCGGCGCATCCTTCAGGTACAACTTACTCATATATCACAAAAGGATATCGCGCTCTGTGTGTGCTTTTCTGCTTAGCTTTTTCCTCGTTTTTTCTTCAATTTTTTTCCTTTCTTGTCTTGTCTGGTCAGCGGCTCCTGCTCTGCTCGAAGGTGACACCGTGGCGCACACACAATGGCCATAGATGGTATTTGCCTATAAGAAAAAAAAAAAAACGAATATACATTAAAACACGCGTTTGAAAAAAGTTCAGACCGTATGAACCAGTCGCAAAAAAATCAAAATCAACTCGTAAAAAACGCAATTTTATTTGTTGGTCTGCATTAAAAATGCAAATATCCTTCCACTTCTCTATCCCCGCCGATCTTCCACTTCCTGTACTCCTAAGATTTTGGGTAAACAACATTTGCAACGGCCAGCGAACCTAGTTGAACTTGGCTCAGCAGCTCCCATCTCATATTGATTCCAGGTTCGATTCTGGGCTCGAATGAGAAAACCAAATATAAGTGCATCTAAAAAGAGCTAACCCATACCCTGTATAAATATGAATCCAGAATAAGCAATTGCAACTTTCCTTTTATTATAACGCATACTTTAATAGTAGAAATGATTTTCTGATATTTATCATTTTAATTTTATATTTATATCTAGCTATTTAGCTATTCATATCAGAAATAGTTCAAAATGAATGTGAATAAAAAAGTTTCTTAATTGAGAAAATTCAAATATTTTTTCTGCATATTTAAATTTATATTTTGATTAATTTTGTAAAAAAAAAAAAGTATATAAATTAATATTTAAATTTAAATTATTATTAAAATCGTTCTTTAACCGTTTAGAAAAATTATCCTCGCCAAATTTGTATCATCGTTTCTGAATACTCTATAAATTGTATAGTGCTCAATCTAATAGCCCATTTTGGTTCATATAGTCCATAGGACCTGTTCCATTCTTTTCACGAACCACACACATTTTTTCCATACTCTGCAAATTTTTCACAAGACATTAAAACTTAATCGCGTATCTCTGGAGTGCTAAAGAGCTGCCAAGACAACAACCACCACTACCAGCAGCAGAGCAGCAGCAGAGCACCAGCAGGAGCAGAAGCAGGAGCAGGAGCGAGGAGCTGAAATTATCATCAGTGCTCAATAAGTTTTGGTCACTGGACAATGTCCATCCTTTTGTGTCCGTCGTTGCCGAGAGGTTCAGGTACATTCGAGTACCTCTACCTACATTCATTTGAATGGAGACAAGTCCCTGCGTCCTTTTCGTGCTCGCGACGATCTTCAGTCCGATCCTTTGTGTGGCCAAGTGCGCCGCTGTCTGCGTCGCTGCCCCTGATGTGCTGTTGTTGTTGCCGGTGGTGGTGGTGCTGCTGCCGCTGCCTCTGTTATCTGGGGAAAGAAACGAAAAGCATGCAGAAAAAGTTTTATTATGCGAGCGTCGAGCGAATCGGCAGCAGAAAAATGCGATTTTTTTTTTGATATAAAAATATTTGGAACGGACTACGGCTGCCATGTGTGGAAGGGTAGAGAGAGTGCGGCAGGGGCACCACCACCACCACCACCACCACCGCCGGCGCATGGGGTAAGATTAGGGCCTGAACTGCGGCTCTGCGGCTGCGCGGCTGCGCTTTCTGCCTGCCGCTCGCAAAGAAGTGTTGGATGTCATCTTATTATTTTGAGACCACGCAGCAGCAGCGGTAGCATTGATGATGACCATGCGCCGCTGACCAGCCGCAGCAGCTAGAGGGGCAGTAGAGGGCTCGGGCATGGACCTGGTCAGCCAGCGATCCCGGTCCCCCCGGTCAGTTGTTGTAAAAGCCTCGCACAAAACTGTGGGAATAAAAACAGGATTCAATGCCGCAGTTTTTAGCAAAAATTGCGTTATCGCCGCAATTGTTGTTGCCGGACTTTAGTTTTGATGATGCCACCGATTTTTTGATGATGCTGCTCAACATTCAGCATCATCTGGCCGCGTTATCCTCGCCCATGTCCTTCCTCCTTATTTGCAGTTTCATCTTGCTTTTTTACTGTTGCGCTTTGCTTGCCAATTCGCCTACTCTCTGACCCGTCCCCAGAAGCGAGAGGAAATCGAAAGCAAAATTCGAAATAATCTACTTTGTTTTAACAAAAATTGGTTTATGACTCAAAAATGAGTCAATTTTCACTGAAATCTTCAGAAAAATATATGTATGTATATACAAGCATGCACATTGTTATCGAAAGCTCTGAATAGCTGATAAGCTGCCTCGGACTAAAAAGAAAAGCAAGCACAGCGCCAGTTGGCATGCCACATAATCGCATTAACAGTCAAGGATCTATAAGTTCCAGCTAATTGGATGATCTCATTGATGGCACTCGCGCAGTTAAGCTTTTAAGCTGCCATAACGGTCAACGCACCTGCTGCACGCACTCAAATTGAGTTGGCAAAAGGCAAAAGCTCATAGAGAGTGCGCATAGATGGAGAACAAAAAAGAGATGGCAGATCTTATCGGCGCATCTAGATGCTAGATACGTTTGTCAGTCAGGGGCAGACTTGAAGTTAATTAAACTTGGACGCTAGCAAAAAGCGAACGCGATCATAAAAAAGAACACGGATTGCGATTGCCCGAAGCAGAAGAATTGCAGTTAATTGAAATGTTCCGCAGTCGGCGGCGCATAGCGACAAAAAACGCAGCGAACGCGGCAGCGGGCGACAAAAGTGAGGGGTCAAGCTGAGCTACAACAAAATTATATATATATGTATATGTATATGCATGCATAAATATGTATCTATGCGTGTGAGTGCGTGTGTGTGTGTGTGTGAGTGTAGGTATGTTCGAATAAAAAATGCCAATAGACTATTGCAAAAAAATGTGCTACCAACGGCTAGAGATGCCCAGAGAGCAAGCATTGCCAGAGACGCTCTCCCTCTCTTGCTATCGCTCTGAGAACTGCAGACAGAGCGCGAGCTTCGAGCTACAAAATGTTTGACTACAAAACGTCTGCGGCTACGTTGTCTGGGTGGTTGCTAGCTGAGTAACTGCGCTGCCTGGCAGCGTGTGCAAAAACTACAAAAAGCACACAGACGACGACGTCGACTTTGTATGGGTATGCATGTGTGTGTGCGTGAGAGAGAGAGAGATTGCATGCAATGCATACCAATACTAATGCAGCACTCGCCACTGCGAATACCAAAACAAAACAAAAAGGAAACGCACGCTGCGTTTGTGTGTGAAGCTTTGCCGGCGTCAGCGACAGCGGCTTCGGTGTGTGTGTGTATGTGTGTTCTTGTCGCTGCAAGCTTTTTTTTTTTTTTGTAGCTGTAGCTCTGCGAGACGGTCGTCTGACTGACTGAACGGCCGGGTATCTGTATCTGTATCGCATCGCCACTCCACTCGCAAGTATCGCGGACGCGCAAACGACCATGCGAAAAAATCGCAGTTACAAATCTGGAACTTTTTACACAAACGGTTAAAAATCAAAGCAAAATATCAACGAAATCTATTCAAATCAAAAACAAATATCAATTCGACAACAGCATTTTCGGTTTTCATCATAAAACGAAACAACAATTTTCAGTTAACATTCAGATGCAATAATTATTTGTCAAAAAGTAATCAAAAAAAAAGTACGGAGTCCGCGCATACGTCTCATACATTGGATATTTAAGCACAACAATAACAAAGTTAATAACAATAGCAACACCGCACACACACACACACACACACACATCGAAAATAAACCAGAATTAAAAATCCGAAATTCCATTTTGTTATTTAAAATTAAACGATTTTCTTAGTGTTTAGTGCAACATTTGCCAGTTTTTGTTTAAGTTTTTCTTTATTTGCAACGGTATAAAACGGTAAATCTTTTATAATATAATATAAAAAGTGGAACACAAGCTCAATACGCTTCATATTACCAATAATAATAATAAAAATAATAATAATAATAATATTAAAAGTAATAAAACAGTTATAATATTGATAATAATAGTTACGCAGTCTATGCATAAAACTTGTAATTTTAAGAACGCATCTGACGGATACACAAGAGTCTAAACGTCTCCTATGGGCACGCAGAGCGCATAAAAATGCAGCGCCATGTTTGGAAATGCATTAAAAATAAATATAAAATTTATAAATTGCTAACAAGTGAAACAAACACAACCTGAAATCAAGCAGAAAAGAACAACAAAATACACTTAAGTGAAAAACAAAAAGTTGAGACTGCATTCAGTTAAAGAATATTTAGTGATTTGTGCGAATTATGATTATCAAGTGAAAAGCATATACAAAAAAAAAAAAAAATAACGAGAGTAAACAAATTTTGAGAATATAATTTAATATTGAATCGACTGCGTTTGAATTCGGCCGCAGCAGGATTTGAAATTAACCCACAACAGGATCAGCCACAATTTTCGCAAGGAAAACGCAGTCAGCAAAATTGCGAAAGGAAATTCAAATCAAAATTGAAAATAATTAAATTGCAATCATTTACTGCAAAACGTGCCTCGAAACCTCAGCTACAAAGACAACTGCAACTCGCAAGCTTTAATCAAAGCTCACCCCACAAGCATTTACGTAACTTCAGATAATTGATGCAATTACCAATCACACACACATACACGCACACACACACACAGAAGGAAAGTGCAGTTAAAGCTTTGAAGCCGCGCTGGATGCCAGAGAACAGACGATAAGCGATCGCAAACTTTCGAAAGCTCCAAAGCTTTAAACCACACGAAGTACACGCCCAACGAGCGCAGCGCACTGCAACGCGCCAGACAGGGAGAGACTGTGCATAATAACTGCAGCAGCCGAAAAGCGAACCGAACGGCGTGCGTCTTGTGCGCTCGTAACTTGTTCGGCCAGCTCTCGGAGCGACGCTTCGTGCACTTCCTGCGCCGCAGCCCCCAGCAACAAGCAGCGGCAGAGCCAGAGCCGCCGAACGGCGACAACGAGATCAGTTCGTTAGCGAATGCAACGCTGATTGCAATTGACGCTGGCTGCATTTTACGCAGCGAAAAGTGAAAGAGACGCAGCAGTCGAGACAGAGAGAGAGAGAGAGAGAGGGAGAGCGCGCGCAACGTAAGATCATCAAACATCACTCGCTCTACTGTACGCCGGTCACTCAGCATCTGCAACTCGGCAGTCCCCAAGCAATCGGAACGGGGGGAAATTAAAAACGATTTTTGCTGCGGCTCGTTGCGTTTCTGTTTTACACTTTTTTTTTTGCTCGTGCAAAAAAGAAAACAACTTGAAAGACACGTAAATGAGTGTAGTTTGTGTTTTAGTGCTACATATACAAAATATAATATAATATACATAACGACTATTGTGGCAGTTACTTGGATTAAATATCTACACCTGCAGCAGCCAATTGGATACTCTACACATTTGGATACTCAACACATAAGCAGCTACGCGGCTACAGATAAAAAAAAATTCGCTTGAGTAAGTCTAAAATGTATCTAAAATCGCAGATAAATATAGATTTCCCAGCTTTAGATACGTGGCTAAAATGATTAAATTCAATACTTGTCCCACGTTATCAGCATTCAAATTAATTATAGAATAAGATTCTGATTAACACAAATAGATTGCAGCCTTATAAATAAACTGAGCTTATAAAGCACGAACTACTTTGAAAGTGCAATAAGATTTCTCTGAAAAAAAAAGTCTATAGAACGCTTTTCTCAGAAATTGTAATCCCTTAATGATAGGAATTTTCCAAAACTTAAACTTTGAGCTTACAATCTTCTTTTTTGCCTATGGAAATTTAATAATAATATAGTAATTACTGTTCTTAAACCCTCTCAAATAACCAAGAACTACATTTTACACATTTAATACGGTATAAAGCTTTAAAGCCATTTCCCCAGTTCCGTTATGTTAGATTCTTAGAATATTGCGAATTTCAAGAGCTTAGGTTACCCTAGCTACTCTCTAAACGAAAAGTTATTTCAATATTCAGCAGGGTTCCCATGGTTTCGAATTCCCAACTATCAGTGCGTAACTTGAGAGCTTTTCAAGTGTTTGGGGAGAACAAATAAATAAAATTGCATATTTTGATATTTGCTTGAAAATCACGTGTAAAGCGTTACGAGGGGGTTAGATAAAAACTGACCCGTCCCAAACATGCGATTGAGGGGTAGGTTGGGGAGCTGCAGCAGCAGCAGCAGCAGAGTGAAGGTAGCCCAATGAGACACGCTGGCAATACCCACAAGTTCATGACCAAAATGCCGCATGGCGGCAACGATGGCAACGACAGCGACGGCGACGTCGTCGTCGTCGTCGTCGACGTCGACGAGCCCACCAGCTAAGCGTGGGCGCAGGGTTCGGCCAGTCGCTCGCTTGGCCAATCTCAAAATATACATGCATACATACATACATACATACATCAATATATGTGTGTGCAAATGCAGCGGTGTGTGTGTGTGTGTGTGTGTGTGTGCATTTTATTTACCATTGCAATTTGGTTCCAATTTAGAGGTACGAAAAATGAACAGACAGACTATTTGTTGTTCTTTTTTAGTTTTATAGTGCGCTCGTTTAACCCCTTCGAAGGAATGTGTGTTTTTTGCATAGCGCGCATATTGTATCTGTGTGTGCGTGTATGTGGATGGCATGTGGAACGTCGACGCTTTGTGCGTGTTTATCGTTTACTTTTAATATGCCATCCTTGTTGTTATCTCTTGCATATTTTTTGGCATTTTTCGCTTTTATATTAATGTTTTTATGCTGCAGTTATTCTATGCTTTTCACTTTTTCTTGTTGTGTATTTAAAGTTAGCTCTGCGTTGAACACGCACGCACACACACGGGCGCAAACTTACGTTCCACACGCGACAAAACTTTGCTCGCTGACAATCTTGGGTTTTTTTTTTGTACACGTTTTTGCATTTCAAGACACACACAAACGATCTTCTGTGCAGCGACGTAGCGGCAGAGAGAGCTTGTGCGTGTGTGAATCTGTGTGCTCATGTTTTTTCGCCTTACGTTTTGGTGTGCAAATTCTGCCGCCACTCGCGCTGCTTATTCTCTTGCTCGCGCTGCCAGCGTCAGCGCAGACGTTCAAAAGCCCGCTCTCACGCGCTCGCTCTCTCTTGGTGTCTCTTGGTTTTTTTGCACGCTTTGCAAACTTTTTGCCTGCCTCTGACCGTCGTCGTGTGCTTGTGTGTGTGTATGTGAATGATTGTGTGCATTGTATCTGTGTGTGCATGCGTCGCCGTCTGTTGCCGATACATTTGACTGTGTGCATTTTTGTAGCCGTCGTCGACGTCGACGTCGTCGTCGTCGTCGTCGTGCTCGCCGCCGCTGCAGCTTTCGTTACGACTTGCGGCTGCGACTCCCCAGAGTTGCTTGTGGGTTTTGTTGTGCGACGCAAGTGACGACGTGAAGACCAACTGAGCAGCAGCAGCAGCCAGCGAACGTCAGACGTGTGCGAAGAACCGAACCAAGAACCGGTGACGTAGACGTTGCGTCCGCCATTATTACAACGCGGCGGCTGCCAAACGCAAATTACAACAATAAATTATCGGAAATCAGCAATAGAAATTCAACTGTGTTGTGCAGTGCGGCAATTTATATCAAATCAAAATCAAAATAGAACAAAGAGTTCAATTTGTATTTACATATATACAACACAATACAAATGCAAATACATACATACTCACATGCATGTATGTATTTTTATTTGATGCTCGTTGGAGAATTCGCAAGCACACACACACATACACACACACACACACACGTATACTAGGTGCGCTGAGTTATGTAGGCAGAGCGCGCGCGGCACGCGAAATGCTAACGGAACGGAACGGCACGGCCACTGTGATCTCATAAATAAATAAAATAAAATAATATACAAATTATATTTATATAAAAGTATAATGCAGAGGAGCTAGCTATAAATATCTATATATATATAATAACAAAAAAAAAAAAAAACACAACGAAATCTAGTTTAAAGTGCATACAAGTGAATTTTTGTGAAATTTAGTGCAAAACAAATTGAAAAGGTAAATCAAATAAAAGTTACTAAGCTCTAAATTTGCCGCTGCAGATTGCACACACACATACAACTACCCGGCAGAAACAACAACAAGACATCCATATCAAGTGCCAGTGTTGTGAATGTGTGTGTAAGTAAAAAGCACACGGCGCGACAAGCAGCTAGCGACGGCATTTCTTGAGAGGCCTCAAATGCAAAAGTGCGTATGTGTGCGTGTGTGTGTGTGTGCAATTAAGTGCAAACATAAGACAGCAACATTTTTAATATATGTACATATATATATATATATAATTAGATGTGTGTGTGCAGATATTTATAAAACCAAACAGCTGACATGTGTGGCGTGAAATGAAACGATATGGATTTATGTGCATGTATGTAAATATGTATGTGCGTGCTCAGGTGTTTCGCTTATATGCAAAAAGGCAATTAGAAGCAGAGCTTGGCGACAATAACAACATCAACGCCCCACAGTCTGCGTTGTTCAACACTGCAACGAACACACACGCACAGGCGTCGCCATAACAAAAGCGGCCCCACACACACACACACACACACACACACACCACATAGCCAGCCATGCAGCTTTGACGGGGCCACAATTTTTTTTTACGTCTGCGACGCTGTGCTTGTCTGAGCATTTCTCTGTGTGTGCGTGCATGTGAGTTTGTGAGCAATGCATTTAACATCGTCACAATCGCATTAAAAGCCGCTGTGTCGTCGCTAGCAGCGCGGCCGACGTCGCTGTCGCCGTCGCAGTCGCATGCTGCTATGTCCACCATTTTGATTTTTGCTTTTGCATCGCCCGCCGTCGCCGCCGCCGCAAACGGCACAAATCATTAAAAGTGAACTTAAAATAAAGAAAAGTCCAGACAAAGTTGCTCCGCATTGCTCTGTTTGCGTGTGTTTGTGTTAGTGTGTGTGCGTTGTGTTGTTGTTGTTTGTTAGTTGGTCTGTATGAAACCGGTTTGCGTCGCCTTTTGCTTTCCTTTCCTTTACTTTGGTTCTGATTTTTGGTCTTAGCTCTGCTTCCTCTGTGTGTGTTGCCTTGCGCCAGTCTAAAGCTAGTTGATTTTGCACCCTCTAGCCACTTTTGTTGTTACCTTGCATTTTCGTGTAGCTGCCCTTTGCTGGGCTCCACGTCAGCCACGTGTCAGCCAAATGGCGTCCACACAGACCACAAAACAGAAACTCACTTCTACATAGGCAACTTCACACACACACAAACACGCACAGATGTATGTGAAAAGTAAGCGAAAACCGGCCGGCGCGTTGCATGCAATGCGGGGCATGGGGATGCACAGAGAGAGCGAGAGAGAGAGAGAGCATTGAGCGCCAAAAGCTCAGCTGCATTGTCAGACAACAAAAGCTTGTGACTGCAATGCGCTCGCTCTCAGAGAGAGAGAGAGAGAGAGAGAGAGCGAGAGAGAGAGGGAGCTAGTAAGCGTGTAAGTGAGACAGATAAATAGAAGAGAGGTACAGCTGCAATTATTTGCAGTTCTTGTCTTGTTTCCGTTTCTTTTCCCACTGCCTTGGCTTGCCTCAACCACGTCCTCTTTAACCGCCTCGTCCTCGTCTCCGTTGTCGGCATGTGTGGATAATTTGGCGCTTCGCCATGTTTTCTCCGCTTCAGCTTTGACTTAACCTCCTCCCCCCCCCCTCCCCCACCTTCCTGTAGGGTGGTGGCTCAGGGAGTTCGAGGAGCCTCTCTGCAGTTGGGTGTTGCATGATGTGTTCGAGTGGCGGGAGGCATGCAGCACGCATGTTGAAGCCGGCGGGCACGGCGAGTTCGTTGCCGGCAAACACGTTTTTATTTTTGCCTGGCCGCATTTGTCGTTGCATTCGGCTTTTCATTTAGCTTGTAATGTAGCTTTTCTGTTTCTTATTGTTTTTTTTTTTTTTTTTGAAAGTTTGACAGCAAAGCAGGCGCTGCAGATAGGAAAACTTGCGAGTAAAATATCATGCCGAATGTTGTCCGAATTAATGGATATCTCTTAAGTAAGAAACTTAAGCTTATAGTAAAAGCTCCTGTAAAGCTTCAAACTGATCAATAAATAATAATACAGCTCATGCATTTGTATAGTAAAGAAAATTCACATGTGCATCCTTTTGGCTCTGCACTGTAATTTGCTCGCGCGGCACACAATTTATGCAACAAGGCATTTCATGACACTGCCACAACCGGCACATGCAATCAGCGGATTGTGTGTGCCTGTGTGTGTCTGCTCGTTGGCGGTGCCAGGCACCGTCTGCCACAATTGCAGGCGCTATGTCCTCGAGCGGGGCACAGCGTGCGGCTCAGGCACGTTGCCTGTCAAAAGCATTCAGCCTAATTTCGCAAATAAAATATGCTAAATAAAAAGAAGCTAGATACACCCGGCGTCAAGTATAGCCCAGCCCCCTATCCCCCCATCCCCCAACCTGGCGCTGGAATTGAGCGG